GTGGGGGCGTTGCTCATGCCGTGCACTTGCTTTCAGAATGGGATCATCACCGGCGTGTACCCGGCCAGCCCCTCCAGCTGGCTTATCGTCGTGGTGGGCGTGATGTCGACCATGTACGCCAAGATCGACCCTTCTCTGGGCATCATCGCCAGGATCAACCGGACCCTGGACACGACGTGAGTCCGCCTGCCCCGCCCCGGGAGCCCTAGGCGCCGTATCCCAGCCCTTGGTACCCCTTTGCTCATGCTCTGACTGCGAGACTGTGGGGGACCAGCCTGCACAGCCGAATGGGTCCAAGGGGAGGTTGTGTAATTAAGGGGTAAGTTAAAGAGACACCAGACAAGATAAAGCATGCAAGGGCTCATCTCTGAGATTGCTTCAGGGACTAGGTCCAAGCAGAGAGAGAGTTTAATGTATTCTTGCAAGCCTATGTAATCTTGGCCAAGCTTATATAATCCTGGCACCCAGGCCACAGTAAGCACATACATATGTACCAGGAAGAGGCTATACAAGAGGCATGCAACGTAATAGGAGGGGGACATGCTAGGGGTGTACATGCAATAGGAAGGGGAGGCCACATGCAACAGGAAGGCATATAATCTATGATCCTTATCAGAAGGGAGTGGGCCCTCCTTAGGGTGGGACAGACAATAGGGCAGCAGTTCTCAACCTGTGGGTTGCCTGTGCGACCCCTTTGGGGGTCGAGCAATCCTTCCACAGGGGTCGCCCAATTCATAACAGTAGCAAAATGACAGTTATGAAGTAACAATGAAAATAATTTTATGGTTGGGGGCTCACCACAACATGAGGAACTGTATGAAAGGGTCGGGGCATTAGGAAGGCTGATTACCACTGCGATAGGGTCTGATTGCCTTAGATGGCAGATGGCCTTCAAGCAATTGACCATCAAGCATACATAGTAGTAGCCATGTGCTTGCAAGTCGCACCTTAAAATTGGCATTAATTTTAGAATGATGATGGCAACAGATGTGCAAATGTGCTTGACACAATGGATGGATGGATGGATTGTGATGAGTAGACGTATCTCCAACCCACGAATGTGAAGGCTCCCTCCATGGGAGTCCTGGCCTCCCAGACTCCTTAAAGTATGGATGTTGAGAGTTTGTCCCAATACATTCTGTTTCCCACATGGGACCTACCGTTGTGGGTTGTGGGCATGTCTGTGGGCTGTCCTTGGATGGCTGTCACCACCCCCGAAGCCTTGGTGCCAGAGTGGTTATGCACTGGGCAGTTCAAACCCCCCAGCCTTTCTGAGGGAGAAAGACAAGGCTTTCTACTCCTGTAAAGGGTTACAGTCTTGGAAACCGACAGGGGCAGTTCTAGCCTGTCCTGTAGGGTTGCAACGAATCAGAATCAGGTGTGTGTGTGTGTGTGTGTGTGTGTGTGTGTGTGTGTGTGTGTGTGAGAGAGAGAGAGAGAGAGAGAGACCACGCCCTGGGAATTGCATTGTCTTCATCTGAAGCCCCAAACCCTGGTGACCTTCCCTGGGAGCTCGTTCCTGACAAGGCTATGCCTGCTCCGACTGAGTTTGTTGTGTGCCCTCAAGAGCATGTCCTGCATGGGAGGCTCTGAGATGACCTCAGTCTCTAGATCCATCCAGTGGTGGATTGTCCCCCCACCCCCACCCCGGGAACTCTTTCACCCAGAAGGGAGCCCTGGTGGTGTACTGGTTACACATGGGGCTGCTAACCACCAGGTCTTTAGTTCAAAACCACCAGTTGCTCCTCTGGAGAAGGATGCGACGTTCTATTCCCATGTAAACAGTTTGGCTGTAAAGAGTGACAGGATGCGGCCAGCACCTGCTAGCAGCGTCTCAGGCAGAGAAGGTGGCAGGTCCGGCCATCCCTCGTCGTCCTGGTGGTGGTGGTGGTGGTGGGAGAAGGCTCCTTTCCAGAATGTCTCCAGATGCCAAACTCCCAGACGCTCAGCTCTCTTACACGAAGGGCGCAGTATGTGCATATACAGGGAGCCCTGGTGGCGGAGTGGTTGGCTACTTACTGAGTGCTAACCTCAAAATTACCAGATCACAGCCACTAATTGCTCCTTGGGAGAAAGACGAGGCTGTCTACTCCCATAAAGAGTCCCATCTCAGAAACCCACAGGGGCAGTTCTACCCTGTCTTACAGGGTTGCTGTGAGCCGGCATCGACTGGATGGCATGGGAGTGACTGGGGAGGCCCCTGAGAGTACTCTTCTGCCAAGAGATGGCTCTGTTACTAAATCGTACTCCCTGGGGGGTGGGGGGGGAGATCAGCCCCCCACAACTAATTGTGGGTTCGATAGGCAAAATTGTACGGTTAAGATATATAAAGATTATCGTAAAGTCATAGAGAGAATGAGAGATTGGAATAATGGAGTCAGACACATTTCATGGAGACATGCTCACCTCCTGGATGGCCGTGATCTTACCAGCCAGGTCCGTGCACAGCGTGGGCCGAGAGCAGGAGAGAGCAGGAGCAAGGTGGGCCAGAGACTCTGTTTATTGCTAACCAAGGCTTATATCTACTTCGAGGGTGTGCATACAGGTAACCACACACGTCACAGGAAGGGGCTGTACAATAGGCAATACAAGCAATAGGAGGGGGGTATGCAATAGGAATAAGTGTGACAGGAAGGGGATGAGCTAGGGGTGTGCACATGATAGGAAGGGGGAGGGACTAGAGGTATATATATGACAAGATGGGTGGACCCTAGATTCATGATGGTGGCCTAACCTTGGTCACTCTTGAGCAGGCTTGACCTCCCTGGGCTCTCCTTCAGGGAAACAATCGACTACTATCATCATCAGAAGGGAGTGGGCCATACTTGTTGTGGGATAAACAGTGGTGTCTGCTTGCTCCAGATGGCTGATAACCCTGAGGGAGAATAACCCCTGACCTACTTCTGTTGACCTCGAAGTGTATAGTCATTCGCCACATGTAGCAAGCCGCTAAGTTTGGCATATATATGGGGAGACAACTTGGGAGAAATCTTTGTTTCCCACACCTGTGGTGCACGGGTGGGGGCTGCTGCGGCTCATGGCCTGTGCATCAATGCCCCTTCAGGGTGGCCCTGTGTGATCCCAAGCAGAACACCCCCCACCCCCCGCCCAGACACGCACCAGAGTCTAGAAGCAGCTTGCCCGGCTTTTCTTCTGAGGAGCCTGGGGGTGGGTTCGAACAGCCAGCCTCTGGCTCCTCATTCCGCATTGTCAGATGCTTTGTTTTTGGTGAAGCCACTGGGATTGCCTAGAGCTGCATCTGCTGGGTCTTCCCCATTCCCCCCACGCCCCCAGCACCTCCTGGTTCCAGGTCTTCAGGGAGGATGCTTGACCCGAGGTGCCTGTTGGGTCAGCTGTTCTTGGACTATCTCTGGTGAATGCCCACCCCACCCCCAGCTGTGGGGCATCCTGGCGCTTGGGGGTGGATGGGGTGGGGGGGGTTCGGTGCCCAATGACCTCGCTCAGGGTGGCCCCGTAGTGCCCAGGAGGAGACATGCAGGTAGCTGGCCGGCTCTTGCCCAAGATGGCGGGGAGAGGAGACACTAACCTCAGTCTGAAGACTGGATTCAAACTACCGCTGCCTCCTCCTTGGGGACCGTCCCGAGAGACCCCCGTGGGGACACACTACCGAGTTGCTGTCAAGGGTCCCCAGGAGATGGTGGGCCGACCGTTGGCTTGTCTGCATCCATCACCCTCGTGAGCATTTTTAACTTCTCGCTTGAACACGCCATGGCTCTCAGCAGTGCGCGTGGCTCGCGTTGTTGCTGGAGTCCACATGTGAACGTGAGCTTCATGGCCCTCTGGTGTGACTGCACCCCGGGGTTCGCCAGGCCTTTCTTCCGAGGCACCTGTGGGCAGGCTCGAGCCACTCCCTTGTTGGTTAGCCTAGGATGCTCACCCACACGTGCCCCCCGGAGCCTCCTTGGTCTGTGGCTCTGAAAATCCAAACTGGTGTCACTGAGTCGATGCCGACTCGCAGCGACCCTGGAAGACCCTATCAGAACTGCCCCGTGGGTTTCTGAGACGGGGACTCTGTACGGAGTAGGAAGCTCCTTCCTTCTCCTACTGAGCAGCTAGTGGTTTCAAACTGCTGACCTCGCGGATCTCAGCCCAACGAGTAACCACTGTGCCTCGAGGGCTCCGGCTTCGGTCGTGAGGCTGTGTCTGTGGGGCTGGAGTCAGCCGGGAAAGACGTGACCCCGGGGGCCCTGCTGGGGTGGGCTCAGACTTCATGCGGGGATTGCCTCCAGGCCAGACGGGGACTGACTTCCAGATCTCTGCCAGGGACCCCCATCTCTCAGGCTGGCATGGTCGAAAAGCAAAAGGAAGAGAAACAGCCCAGAAATGTCCTTCATTTTCCTGGACTCCTGCCTGGACCTGGACTCCTGTGGGTCCCTGGTCTGGCTGGGCCCGGGGAGAGGCCTCCACATGGGCGCTGTCAGTTTATTATATATATCCACACAAAAAACCATAAACTCACTGCCATTGAGTCGATGCTGACTCATAGTGACACCCCCCCATGGGTTTCTAAAACTGTAGCTGTTTCTGGGAATAGGAAGCCCAGTGTTTCTCCCTTGGAGCTGCTGGTGGTTTTGAACTGCCGACCATGCAGATCTCGGCCCAACATACCACCAGGACTCCTCATATATATAATGTATCTATCCCTCCATCCATCCATCCATCTATCCCACCATCCACCCTTCCCTTCATCCACCCATCCCTTCATCCATCTATCCATCCATCCATCCATCTATCCATCCCTCCATCCATCCATCCATCCATCTACCCACCCATCCCTTCATCCCACCATCCACCCTTCCCTTCATCTACCCATCCCTTCATCCATTTATCCCTCCCTCCACCCATCCATCCATCCATCCCTCCATCCATCTATTCATCCATCCCTCCATCCATCTATCCATCCATCCATCCATTCATCCATCCCTCCCTCCCTCCATCCATCCATCCATCCGCCCATCCATCCATCCCACCATCCACCCTTCCCTTCATCCACCCATCCCTCCATCCATTTATCCCTCCTTTCCTCCCTCCCTCCCTCCATCCATCCATCCATCCACCCATAGGAGGAAGACCCGGTGATGGGCTTCCTTACATATCACATCCTGGAGTACCCTATGGGACAGGGCAGTTCAACTCTTGACACACAGGATCCCTCTAAACCCAGCAGATGCACACGTGTGTGTACATGTGTGCATGTGTGCACGCACATACATGTACACACAGACAAAGAAGCTTCTGGAAGTGTGTGCAAAAGTTCCGTTACCTTTCAGCTCCCTGTTCTACACACTACGGAGGCCTCTCCCTTGTATAGTCTCAGATCCCGACAGCACCGTGTGTTTGCCTAAGCTGAGCACCACTCTGCTTGGTGGGCACCGGGGAAGTGTGCCGTTTCCTTAAGTGCGAGGTGTGGCGCAGGTAGATGATCCAGAAGAGCGCTGCTTCAATGCAGACGGTTGCCCTTGGACGGCGTCCTTAGACATGAAGCTGGGTCTGCAGACCTCGGCGAAGTTAGGACCAGGTGCTAGAGGTTGTAGGAAGGTGCTCAGTTTTCACACAGGTAGGTTCCCTGGAGTGCTAGCTCTGAAGACACCCACTTCTTCGCTTCTTTACCATGTAAGTGTTATCAGTTTGGTGGATGGTGGGCAAAGACGGGATGGTCCACTCCCGTCCAGAGTGACGTCTCGGAAGCCCACAGGGGTGGTTCTCCCCCATCCTGTAGGGCGGCTGCTGACGGCGATGCGTTTGGTTTTAGTTGTTTAATTTAAAAAAAAAGGTGTTTTCCCCCCACGTTCCCACGTGTTTTCCTCAACCCTGTAAATCCACATCCTCCTCGTGATGCGAGAGGTTTCAGTGATTCCCATGCGAGGAGGCTGCTTTTCCCCCAAGGGATTCCGAGATCCGTGGGGATGTGTGGGAGCAAGCGTGCACACAAGCGGGTCAGCAGATGCCCCGTGTGGTCACATTGCCCTCAGGGCTTGGTCCCACCTCAGGCTGGCAGCCTCACGAGGGCCCCCTTTGCCTGTCACTCTCCCCGCTCCCGGGCACAGAGGAGCCTTGGTGAACTTCAAGGCTCCCCAGAGCCTGAGGGCACAGGAAGTTGCCCGAGACTCTTTGGAGAGGTGAGCTCCCACCAGGTGAGGACTCGCTGTGTGGTGGGCGAGGCGTAACTCCCACGTGGGGTACAGAGGCTGCTCCCTGCCCGTCTGGCGGCCTGAGTCGGCTCTGACTCCACGGCGTCTTTTCTCCCTCGTCTGCATCGGTCTGGAAGCTCGGCGGACACGTGTGGGGCACACTGACGGTCAGGAGGCTGGGGTGGCGGGGTTCGGTCCAGCCTCACAGCGCTGAGCCTCCATCCGCTGCGGCCACCCTGTGTTGCCCACACTAACCTGTGCACTCCCGTCTCCTTCTGCCCCGGCAGGGACTACATGTCCAGCCAGACGAAGAACGTGGTCAGCGGTGTCCTCTTCGGCACGGGCCTGTGGGTGGCGCTGATCTTCACCATGCGCTACTCCCTGAAGGTGCTGCTCTCCTACCACGGCTGGATGTTCGCCCAGCACGGCAACATGAGCCGAGCCACCAAGATCTGGATGGTAACTGCGCGCCCACCCACCACCCACCCACCCAGCCAGTGGGACGCTTGTGTTGATGTTTTCTGCTCTTGACACACGGCGTGGGGACTGGGTACCACCCTTGCTCGCCCGAGGGCCCGGACTTACCACGGTGCCCCGTGGGCGCCCTCTAGGACTGCTTCTTTCAGGGCGTTAGAACGTGCTGAGCATTTAATGTTCCTGCCTGCCGCTTGATAGCGTAGAACGGGAGGAGCCTTCTCTGCAGGGCCCAGAATCCTACAAAAGCTGCCACCCTGTGGTCACTTTCAGACTGATGCATAGCCAGCCATCCCTCCACTGGCCCTGCCGGCTGGGATGCCCGTAAACCACAGCTTGCCTCTGCCGTGGTCTGACGCTGAGCCTCCATGCCGCCTGTTCAGAGTGAATCGCTTGGTCACGCCTGTGATGTTTGCCCGCGTTCCGGCGTGTGCAGGGTTTTATGGGATCCCCGGTGGCATAGTGGTTACACGGCGGCTTGATAACCGTGATGTCAGCAGTCCTGCCCGCCCTGTAGGCTCGCTGTGAGTTGGCATCGACTGACGGCAGTGAGTTTGGTTTTGAGCTTTTCAAGGGCTTTACGCGCTGAGGTTTTTGGACACACACCATCAAGATGGAAGCTGAGGCTGGGTCCCTAAGCCTCCGTCTTGGGTGCTCTGGCTTGGTATGTCCCCCTGGGCTGTGACAGGTGTCTGTCCCTCACCTGGCCGTTTATAGCCCTGTCTGGAGCCTTCCCCGAGTGACTCAGGGCCAAGCCGGCTCCAGGTGCACGTGCTGTGGTGGCTGGTGGCCTCTGTGACAGACTGCAGGGGAAGCGGGAGAGCTGGCGGGAAGGGCAGGTGGAGAACCGGCCCTGGGACGCCCGGGGCCGCAGCGCTGCAGACGTTACAAAGGCCTCGTTGGGGCGCATTGGGCCGTCTCCGTCGGGCTCTCTTATATTAGCCTGGTTGAGAATGGTCATGACCAGGAGCCCTGGTGGCACAGTGGTTATGCTGGGCTGATGGCTGCAAGGTCAGCAGTTGGAAACCACCAGCCGCTCCCCTGGAGAATCACAGTCTTGGAACCTCACAGGGGACAGTTCTACCTTGGCAGTGAGTTTTGTTTTTTGGTTTGAACCGTAACCAGAAAAGGCCCTGCTGGCGCAACGGTTAAAGCCTTCGGCTCCCAGTCTTAGAAGGTGGGCGGCTTTGCACCAGAAGCTCCAAGGGAGAAAGAGGAGGCCTCCTTCCCCCGTGAAGATGCATACTGCCCCCAGGGGGCAGTTCCACTCTGTCCTTTGAGGCTGCTAGGCGTCCAGGGCTAGTGGGCCCGGGGACGGGTCACAGGCAGAAAGGTTTTCTTGAAAGTGCTCCTCTCACGGCGGATTCCACGGGAGTCTGAGGGGCAGTGTTTCGGTTCTCGTCTGAGGGGGGCTTTCTGAGCCCCCTGTGCTGTTCCCACTCTCGCCAACCGGGGCGTGGCACCATTGCGGCCCCCCCTGACAGCCTCGGGGGCTCATGGGAGACTCCCCTGTTCCAGGCCAGTTTCCTGCTACCGCTTAGCGTCTGATTTCCAGAGAAACGGAATGGCTGTCGGAGGGCGTTCCCACACTCTAAACCAGTGGTTCTCCATCTTCCTCAAGCCGCGCCCCTTTCACACAGGTCCTCAGGTGGCGGTGACCCCCAACCATAAAATTATTTTCGTCGCTACTTCATCACTGTCATTTTGCTGCTGTGATGAATCGGGCGGCCCCTGTGAAAGGGTCATTCGACCCCCCAGACCCACAGGTTGAGAACCGCTGCTTTAAACCAACGTGACAAATGTGCCCTCAGGCGGCCTCTGTGCCACTGTGGGTGGAGCCCCACAGCTCCTGAGCTCCAAACATCACCCGTGCTTTCTCTCCACCTCCCTGCACGGTGGGCTCTAGAACTTTCTTTAGAGGCTGGATGGCTTTACAGCAGCCAGTTACTGCTGAGAACCATCCACCTCAAGTAGCAGGGAGAGTAGGCTTGACACTGGGCTTAGGGACAACAGGACTTTCTACAAGACAGCTCGATCTCCAGGCTGCTCAGCGGCCTGTACTCTCACGCCGAACCCTAGGGCAGGGGGGCGCAGTGCTACTGTGATTTGACACTGCCAGGGAGAGGCGCCAGGCCCGGAAACCCTGCTAGCATACCTTCATCCTACACTCCGCGCAGACACGCAGGCTTTTTCAGCGTGGGTTTTTTTGCAGGCTGCATGTCTTTTGCTAGAGCCTGAGTGTGAGGGCGGAAGTGGAGCTGAGGGGCACTGAATTGCTACAAACAGTCTGCAAACCCTTGCCCAGGGGTCTCCGTTGAGAAGGGCAGCCCTGGGGGTGTAGTAGTTGTGTGTCAGGCTGAGAACCACCAGGTCGGCAGTTCAAAGCTACCAGCCGCTCCTCGGGAGGAAGACAAAGCTTCTCTCCTCTCCTAAAGATGGGCCGTCTCGGGAACCCATAGGGGCAGGTCTACCCTGCCCCACATGGTCACCGAGGGTCGGAAAGGGTCGGAAGGGCGTGGGGCGAGTGACCACGCGCCACCGATGTAACAGGCAACCCCACGGGGTCTTGCCGTGCTGCTCAGGTTTAAAGGGTGTCTCTGCCGAGGGTGTTGGGTTTGTGTTGCTGTGGAGGGATACTTTGGAAGAGGGTGTCGGTGAGGGCCGCAAACACGAAGAGGGTAGTCAGTCCAGGTCGACCTGGAGAAAGTCTCCTTGTGTCCCCAGTTAAAAAGACGACTGTTTCCATCGCAGCTCTGTGGGTGTCAGGAACCCGC